TGCAACTCGAAACAAAGCGAAACCAGTTCATTTGTATCCTGCTTCTAATAAAGACCTTTTTTAAAAAGGCTTTTTGTATTGACCCACACGTAAATCGTTATATGTGGGACCGGTGATTAAGTAAATCACTTACTTGCAGCGCCTGATTGTGGTTCTTGAGTGATGTTTCGGACTCTATCAGTTTTGCCTGCACTTCGGCCAGACGTTTTTCTAAAGCATCACACTGATTGGATTTTACTTCGAGAGCGTTCTCGGTTTTCTTCAGCTCTTGCTCTATTCCTCGTAAGGTGAATCGGCAATTGTCTGCCTCTAGTAGGGTCTTAAGTTCCAGCTTGTCGCCCTGCATGATAAGCTCTGAGTAGGATGAATCTGCCAGCGGTCTGGTCTTGAAAGGTTCAGCCGCTATTATTTGAAAGATTAGTGGAGACAATCTGGCTTACTTTGCATATTTCTGTGTATAGGGACTTGTGGGCTTGATCAGCTGAGTTTCCATTAGTTTTTATAAGTTCTGGGTCAAGTTCCAGCTCGAAGGATTCTTCGCTGTTGCCTGTAAACATGAACAATTAGCGTGCGATACAGCCAAAAGGTTTTTTGGAAATCTTACCCAGAATGGTGAATTTTTCTTCCTGATCGAAGGACTTTGATTCCACTGTCCGGGCCAGTGTTACCTTGTGCTGATTCAATCTCTGGAATTATTCAAGCAATTATTGAGCAAACAAAAACAAGGTTGGAAGTTTACATTGTTTTCTTCCATTAGCTGATCAATAATGTCTTTCTGACGGGCGAAATCACGCTGCAACGCACTGAACATTTCATTCTGCTCTTGCAGTTGCACCGCTTTACTATTCACTTCGTTCTTGGCGCCGATGAGCTCATTTTCCATTTGTTCTCGGTATTTAGAACTTGCTTCGGCTTTTTTCTCAAGTTTGCACTTCTAAAAACACAACAGTAAATGAATGTCGTCCTCTGAACGACTGGATTACTGTGCCACCTCTTCCTCTAGCTCATTATTCAATTTCTGAGTAAACAAAACTTCCTTTTGTGATTGTTCAAGTTTGCTCTTCAGCTGGCCGATGTGTTTTTTGCAGTAAGACAACTCATCGCGCAAATCTTCGCTGTACTTGATGTCTTTGGTTAAATGTTCGTTGGCTTGCTGTTCTCTGCAAATGTTAATAGAATAATGACATTTTCCACTGGAATGAAGATAAGTGTTGAACTGACTGTTGCAGGATTCGATTGGCCTTGCCCAAATCCTGCTGTAACTGCTCATTGATGTCTTCAGAAGCAGCCAGCTGCTGCTTGATCATCAACAGTTCATGGGAGGTTTTGGACAGTTGCTGTTTCAGCATTTTGTTTTCCTCTTCCAGAATCGTTTTGTCCGGTTCTGGATGAAATGGGGATTATAACTGAAATCGCCCGCTAGTTAAGAGTTAGTGTCTTTACCACATTCTTCCACGCGGCTCGTCGACAAGCTGTAGCCGGACACATTGGACAAATTCAGCAAATCTTTGCACCTGAGTGCAAGTTTGTCTCCTAAACTCGCTCTAGGAGTGGAATGGGTGTAGGGCAGGTCAAGCATATCAATGCTCGCTGGGTTACTAATGAGAAACTTCTTAAGGTAAAGCACGTATTTTAGGCGAAATTCTTTACCAGGGAGTTTTATTGAATTCGGAGTTTTCGGTTTCACCCTCTGTGGGTGACGCCAATGTTTGACACCAATTGGTCATAACTTCGCAGAACTGTTCACTCGTGATCAGCGCTTCGGTATTGAATGGGTCTAATAAAAGTTGCAAGTTCTCCAAAGCTTCTCTGAAAGTGCATTGGAAAATTATTACATCCTTCCCCCAAAGAACTAGGTGTATCAAAGAGTGCAGCCTTTTTGGAGCATACTTACAAATCTTGTAATAAGTATGGCCTAATAAACTCGATTAACTTGGAGACTGGCACCAAATCGATATTATCAATATCACAGGTACTGAATATTGACTGCACTATATTGCCCACATTTGATTGATCTGCAAACAAATGTAGTCAATTAGTTAAGCCTTTCAGGGCTTTGGAAGAGGCATTATTCCTTCAATATCAGAATATATCGGGGCTCGGAAAAACTCCGCCGCTGAGCTCAGCGATCTTCAAATAATGAAACCAATGCACTTCTTTTTTTGAAATGAAAAAGCGGTTTACGTAGCAAGCAAAGAACTGCCATGAATGAGAAGTGGAAAAAACTGGAATTCAAAACAGGAACAAGGAATAATAAAAGCCGGCAACTTACCATGTAAATCCATGTTGTACAGAAAAGTTGCACTTAAGTCTTAATCACTAACGAACAAGTTTACCGTTGCAGAAACACACAAACAAGTAATAGGTTTCCAAAATTGAAAAATTTTGGAAATTATTAAACCGTCAAAATGACGGAATGGTTAAGAACAGACCTTAATTTGAGGTTGGGACACGACTGGGCTAACGATCAATCGTACGCGCCATCCGATTGGTGGCTTCAATTTTAAAATGACAGATTGAAGAGCTTATTTTTTTTCACTGGGGTCCGAATTAGGCAACCCAACATTCACTATTTGTTAGTCACTGCCAGAGCGACAGCTAGAAATCAAAGTTGTTTTTCAACGTTTAACTTTGAGTGAAATACTGTTGAGTATTGAAGAGTTTACTGATTAACTGGCTTAAGGGATGGATGTTCACCGTGCGGATTAAATTTGGTAAGAAATGTATCTTTAACTTCCCAATAAGAAAAGTTGGAAAAATGATGATGTTTGCATGAAACTTGAGCAACTTCTTGTTTCTGCCAGAGACAAGCAGACTTGTCTCAGTTTCTTCTGTTTATCGCCGGGCAAAATCTTGCTAAATTCGTTGCTTTCAAGTGGCGCCTTCTCGCCCCTTCTTGTGAAGTTTCATAGCAAAAATCGAAGTTTTACACAGCTATAGATTTGGTCCGCCCAGACCATATTTTTTCTATTTTTGAAACAGGCTGAAGTTTGCGTAGGTTCATTATTGAAAATGTGTTGAAAACGCAATATAACAATAACCAGAACATAACTGATTAGCATATTCGTTTTAAGTAAATTCACATTGTATCCCAGTCTCGTAATATGCCTTAAGCGCCGTTAGAGGGCGCCAGGTTGTAGATATACAAATAATCGCTTTTGGCCTGCAAACGACAACAATTTTAATTGATACTTGGTATGAGAAAGGGCATATTTTGGGCTCTTTCCAACATAGATAACTAGAACTTACACCTCGACCTGCCCTCCATAAATCAGCCGAAAGCTTAGAGCGGTTTTTAAACCAGCGTTAATGTCAAATTTACGCCTTTTGTGTGAAAACTGGAAAAAAATTTAAATATGCGCCAGTATTTTCACTACAAAAACGTTTCTTTTGTTATTTATTTTACTTAATTTTAACGCAAATTTTAAAACACAATTAACCTTTTCGTTCTGTTTGTCCTCAGTTGACTTCTCTAATCAAGACCTGCCGCACCATGCTCATATATTCTGCGGCTGGTTGGCAGCTGATTTGGCAGTTGTCAACGTTTCGGCTTATTGCTCAGCTGTTAGCGACAGACTTTTCAGTTTGTGGAAAGCGGGTGAGGAGAGTGTATGTTGTGCTTTTAAGGTGAATTGTAACCCAACGTGGGTTTGTTTACGTTTTTCATAGACTGAAAGCAAGAAGCGGTTCCGCTGAAAAACTGACTGATTAGCGGCGTTCCTGATTTCTAAGGTCAGTGTCAATACAATTCACTGAAATTCTAACATTTTCCCAACAAAAATCTGGCAAAGATTTCAACAGCATGCTTTTCTATGATAATGATAGAATTTATAGAGGCACTTGTGAGGTTTGACAATTTAATTCACAGATAATAGAAAAGAATGTGCAATTTTCGCCCGTATTGTTTGCCACTATCCCATGCGAAATGGCTGGAGGGTCATCGCAAATAGACGGCACTTTCATTTTCTAACGGTGTGTGTATTCAGTGACCTCCAACATCATTATTTCGATTGCCAATTGTTAATTGCTCAACCCAGGAAATATTTCATTAATAGCCGGGTTTTAGTTCAATGTTCTTTTCAGCAAATCAGTGTGCCACTTAGGTCATTTACACCAGCAATGCTTACTCAAAATATTTACAGGTTTTTTTCCCTATAAATGTCGTCCACGCACTGTGGTTGGTTTGTTTATCTGTCCAGAAAAACCTGATGTAATGTAAACAAACCAACCATAAACAAGCAAATAGCGCGTTTGGTGCCGGTTGATTGCTTCGGCTTGTATAATTGTTAACAGGGACGGACTGTATTCCGAAGAGACCCAAAGAGTAGTCCAAAAAAAAGTACACAAAATGCGTCTTTTTTCAGTTTTGCAATGATTTGTCCAGGATTTGTCCAGTTGAGGCTCAATCTGGTCCTGAATATCTCGCTCCATTGGTGTATGTTTTCCTAAACATTCAACTAACAAACAATTTACATACATTTGAACTGCCAACCTTAAATTTATTTAAGCCTTTAATTTAGGCAACAAATACGTGTTTTTTCCCATTGAACTGGTACTCGATTTCAGCTAAAATTAAAAAAAAGTGGAATATTGCATCAGAATTACAATCCACTGTGTTTTCAGGAACGTCGACAAATTTAACTAAAAAAATGATTTGCATGCTGTGCGGAATAGAAGCGTTTTGCTTGATAAAACGTAAACAGGAAAACTGAAACACTGTTGCATTGGTTTATAATTGAAAAAATACTGAATTTCCACGTTAAACATGGATAATTGGCGGCAGCCTATTTGTTCAAATGTGCCAGTCACTTGCACCCGCATGTTTTAGATAGAATTTCGCATCGACTTGGTACTAGTTTTTAGCTAGGATGAACCCAAAAAGACAAATATTGCATCAGATTTGCAATTTACTTGAATATTTTTCACGAAAATTGACAATTTTTACCCGAAAAATTGCGTCAAGTTGGACCGTTTTGCGGTCGTTCTSTTCAAAGTCACTTCGGGCKAATTCTGAKCGCAGAWTCGGTTTTTCGGGCAAAATTTAGCGTWAAATGAGCCCCAAATTGGTAGGTGAGTTTYCGACAAAAAATTTGCTACTCAAAGCCAAAAAAAYGTTTYTTTTTTTTGCAAAAATCAGMAAAAATCGACTCAAAAAGCCAAAAATGGGTTCTTAAACCTTSCACAGGAGCCACAATGGTTAGCCATACAAAMGTAATTTTTTTCTAGTTTAARTTTCAAGCTRTCCAAAAAATAGATAATTTGTGTCTTTACTGTACAGGGTGTTTAAAATATGAGGTTCCGGGCGAATTCACACAACAAAACGCGTTTCAAAGACACCCTCCTTGTTGACTCTTAATTTACCTTTCCATTTTCTTCATTAATTGTTATTTAAAGTCTTCAGGTTAATTCCTTGTATTTCCCATTCTTCTGTCTTCATGCTCTTTAGCATCCGATCAAGGCAATTTCCCCCATGCTGCATATTCAGAAACATCAATTTTAGCCATAAAAACTGATTAGATTTCTTGCCCGATTGTTCTAAACAAAGGAGTTCAGCAACAATTATGCAAATGTGTGAAGACCAAACAATAGCATTCAATTACATTTATGTTTTTAACCAATTTATACGGTCAGATTTACCATCGTTAATCAGCAGTTGTTGACTTGCCATCTATTTTACATACCCAAAATTATTATCTAGCAAATCAACGATAAAAAGCGACCAGTGACCGACACCGAGAGTTAAGCTTCCATTAACTTGTAGTCTACATTCTACATATTTCGATTTACTTCGAACCGAGATCTGTTTAAACGTTTATTTCGCAATTCACAGCAATTTAATGCGCGGGCTTCCGTCTTAAAACACTCGCCACGTTCATTCAGATCATCCCACGTTTATGTCGGGCGGTTTTATGAAGAGTTTTGTGGGTGGAAACAAAGGAATCACGTAACGTTTATGTAGATTGTTCAGTGAAAAATGAACAATCGCTTTGAATTAATTTTATGTGTTTGGATAGGCCCATAGCTGTAATATACAGTGAGAAATTTGCTTTTTAATGGAGGAGTCCGAAAGCTTGGAAAGAACTGGATGAAAACGTTGAATTCCCTTGAAGTTTTCCAACGCAATTGACGGAGTAAATTCGGGATTAACACTCATTTCACTTTGCTCAGCAATTTGCAAACCGACCTTAAGAAATTGGAAAAGTTTCCGACTGAAAATGCACGATAACTTTCACTTAATCCTTCGAATCACATATAAGGGCTTTAGTCAAAAGTTTCCGGTTCTAAGTTGGGAAGTTTCCCTAACAGACACGTGTACCTACCTGTTTGCCGAGGGTTTTGCAACTTTTAAATCAACATAAAAGTTAAATTACTTCTTAACTTCAGGGCGTGGATGATTGAAAATGTCGAAAAAAACATTTAATTCATGAATTTAAAGAGAAACATGCTGTTGTTGGCTCATGCTGAAACTAATGCGATACATTGAGCATTAGGAGCGCCGGGGCCCTTTCGAATTTCGAAGCGTCCTCGTTGTGCCAATTTATTTTGCATTTCCGCTTGTTCGTAGTCCATCGAAATTCTCGTTTGCATTTCCGGGGCGCAAATCGCTCGGACGGGTCTTGGAGAAAATCAAATTTCCTCTCTAGTTGGATCCACACGCGGTTCAATGTGGAGTCGATCAAGCATCAGCTGCAGAAAAATCGATTATTTAATAATAACTATTGTCGTACTTTTCCAGGATCTGTTCCTTCCAAAAACAAACCTGTTTGTTATCGTGTTTTAAAGCAATTGATGTGTTAGTAGCACGATAAGAACAAGCACTTTTCATTGATTGAAGTCAGAGGTCGAGAAAAGGATTAGTCATCTTTATTGACGAAAAACACGATTTTGGTTTCACAATTATTGTGAATTTCGGTACTTTATTTAAAGCGTTAAAATTGTTTTCATTATCGGGCTGCGTTGCTTATCTGCCCCTTCGACGGCATCTTTTATTTAAAAAGCTGCAATTTCGATGAAATATGTGCAAACTTGAGAAGGAGAATGAAATAATTTTATCTGAGAGTTCGCTGGTATTGTTGAAAAATTATGGACGCGATGCGGAATGGTTAGTTAAATTTTTTAAATGTATGCGGGCATAAAGTCTAGCGGAAAAGTGGAAAGCTTAGCCAAACCGTTGCACCATCGATCGTGCACTGGATGGTGGCTAATTTATATATTATGTGGGTCTAATGACTAGAAAAAACACTGATAGCTAATTTTATGAAACACGCCGCACTTGTGCCACTTATCCAGCTCTTGAGTAAGCGATTTCGATTGGAGTTAAATGTGCTTGAAATGCATTAATTGGGGTTTTCCTTATCGGCAATAGTTGATGATGCTCAATAAATATGTGGATTTACCATGAAAGCTTAAGGTTTCGCCGGCATATGCTACTGACATCTTCAGACTTGCACGCATCTTTTGTCTAAACGATTCTGTACAATTTAACATCGGTGCAATCATCATAACTTTATTTGATAGTCGTTTGGCGATTTAGTTTTGCTTGAAACGCGGCTTAACTAAATTCGTTAGCAAACTGTGCTGCAATTGAAGGAATCTACCAATCGTTTGTGTTCTGTGGTTGTCAGTTTGTGCAAATCAGAAAGTGCAATCATTATTGCATTTTAGCTTTTACTGCGTCCCGTGCGAAACCACAGCATGATCGTTTACCGATTATGTAATTGGGGAATTATTTCGCTTTTGTGCCATTTTATCAGTGAAGTTTCATCCGGTTAAACTATGACAGCCAGAAGATTTTACAAAGAGCACAAAAATGGTAAAAAGTAGGTAAGTACTAGTGCATCAACCAGCAAAAAAGATCAGTTGATTTCAGTGAACGAATAAAAAGTTCTGGTAGTTTTTGTACCAAGACACTCACGAGTCCAGCCCGAAGAGGATGAGCTCGGTTGATTCATAAAATATCAGTCTTCAGAAGAATAAATTTGCAGCGAGAAAAACACATTTTTTTATTAATTAACTGGCATTTTCTCTTAGTCAAAGTTAAGTCAGATCGTGTTCTTTTGAACCAAAGTCTGTGTGAGAAGCTCCAGTCATGAGCCTCGATGAACCTGAACAGTTTTATTGCCCGCTACTACATTAGTTATGTTTATATGCAATGTTTATTTTCCTATTTCCGTGTTGAAATATTTTTGTGTTTTTCAATTAATAATTGCGTGAGTCTTTTAGTTAGTCATTACTGTGTTCAGTATAATTTATTTCAGAATTTGTATTTTGGTTTAAATATTTGAAATAAAAGTTGTTGATTTCCAAAGAGATGTTCATTTGATTCGCCCTAATGGTCGCAGCCAGTCGATTTATTCCTCCGGACTTCCGCTCTCAGCTGGAATGTCCATGTTGATCGTTTCCAGTCGATTTGTGTTTTATCCTGGACAAACCCAAAATCTACTCATTTTCTGAATGTATTTGTTTGGGTCTGCAAGAGCCTTTAGGCCCCAGAAGCGATTGATTAGATGCATGTTTGGATTTTTGTTCGTATTGAAGTTGCACACCATTTTCTTCTTTAAGGTAATTTGCAATGACTGAATATATTCACTTAAAATTCAATATACACTAATGAAAAGTTAATGCTGATCGATTGCAAGTTGTTGCGATCGTTCGGGTATGTGTAACGTACGTGTTTTAATAAAAGCTCGCTAACGGGCAGCGGTCACGTCGTGTATGCTTATTCAATTAGC